GTGGGCGAGTTGTAGCGGCAAAGTGTTCCGTGCCACATTTCTTTCTTGCTCGAAATAGTTATTCGTGTTGCCATGGAGAATATAAAGAGCAAAATAGATAGCCAGAACATGTCTCCTTATATCAGTATCTCCATGTAAAAAAAAAAGAAATGTTTATTTTTCCACAACCCATGAGCCCCCAAAATCTTCTCCAAGTACTGTACATCATTTCAGCAGCAGTTTCCATATGGAGACACTCAAAACCGGTCCAGAGTTTTCTTGTGCTGAGACCGATTATATGAAGGAGACATTGTCTGCTTATCTATTTTGGTTTATAACTGTACTGTTTAGGTTTTATGTAACATCCACAACGCATAATACAACTACTGAGTGAGCGTCCGCGTGGGTAAAGTCCACACCGCTTGCTGTTCAGCATGCTCCTACTTCTCTATCCTGCCGGCTGCAAGGTCATCACAATACACGCGTATTGCCAAGCAGTCGTGTGAGCGTGTCGGGTAGTTTAAGTGATGTCGAGTGGAGTCTGTATTGAGCATGCCGGTGGTGCTGTCATCGTCAAAGCTAAGGATGTCTTATTGTGTTAACAAGCCGCCCGGACTTTGAGAACCAAGTGGGAGGCCCTACGGGGCAATTCGTCATTTTTAGGGAGGCACCAGGGGAATTGCTCGCATCCATCGTAGTCGAATAGTATAAATATTTAACCTCAAAACACTTCTTTCAGGAGGGTCCTGCCCTGGCATATTTGCCCATTTCCATGAGCGTTGCCAATTGCTTGATGTTTGTGGAAACCAGAGTACCCAAAAAAAATCCACCGTGCATGCAAGAGGATAGCACTGATTTTCTGTACTGCCAACTCCTGTTCACCTCGCAGCCCATTTGGTGTTTGAAGTGTCACATATCTCTATGTGACGTGCCAGCCCTTGCCTCGAAAGTGCTCGGTAATGCACTTACACTCTTCTCTGTAAGCTATTTTCATAATACAGTATAAATAATGGGGGATTGAGTGATGTTAGGTAATAACGCATTAAGACCAGTATTATTTTTTTTCCAAGGACACATGACTTTACAGAAATGTATAAGCGAACAAGAACAGAAAACCTGGTTTGAAAAAAGTACACATACACAAGTAGAATTTCCTAAACGTTTGAAAGTACTGTAATATAGTAAGCGGTTAAAAACACACAGCTTTTATTTAGTCACATTTCTGTACTCATTGTGAAATAGTAACTAAGAGCAAATTGAAAGTTGAATGCCATGGAATAGATGCTAAACGTAGTGCAGACGTGACATGCTCTCAATACAGTGAGGGAAACAAGTATTTGATCCCCTGCTTATTTTGTACGTTTGCTCACTGACAAAGAAATGATCAGTCTATAATTTTAATGGTAGGTTTATTTGAACAGTGAGAGACAGAATAACAACAACAACATCCGGGAAAACGCATGTCACAAATTTTATAAATAGATTTTCATTTGAATGAGGGAAATAAGTATTTGACCCCCTCTCAATCAGAAATATTTCTGGCTCCCAGGTGTCTTTTATACAGGTAACGAGCTGAGATTAGGAGCACACTCTTAAAGGGAGTGCTCCTAATCTCAGCTTGTTACCTGTATAAAAGACACCTGTCCACAGAAGCAATCAATCAGATTCCAAACTCTCCACCATGGCCAAAACCAAAGAGCTCTCCAAAAATGTCAGGGACAAGATTGTAGACCTACACAAGGCTGGAATGGGCTACAAGACCATTGCCAAGCAGCTTGGTGAGAAGGTGACAGCAGTTGGTGCGATTATTCGTAAATGGAAGAAACACAAAAGAACTGTCAATCTCCCTCGGCCTGGGGCTCCATGCAAGATCTCACCTCGTGGAGTTGCAATGATCATGAGAACGGTGAGGAATCAGCCCAGAACTACACGGGAGGATCTTGTCAATGATCTCAAGGCAGCTGGGACCATAGTCACCAAGAAAACAATTGGTAACACACTACGCCGTGAAGGACTGAAATCCTGCAGCGCCCGCAAGGTCCCCCTGATCAAGAAAGCACATATACATGCCTGTCTGAAGTTTGCTAATGAACATCTGAATGATTCAGAGGACAACTAGGTGAAAGTGTTGTGGTCAGATGAGACCAAAATGGAGCTCTTTGGCATCAACTCAACTCGCCGTGTTTGGAGGAGGAGGAATGCTGCCTATGACCCCAAGAACACCATCCCCACCGTCAAACATGGAAGTGGAAACATTATCCTTTGGGGGTGTTTTTCTGCTCAGGGGACAGGACAACTTCACCGCATCAAAGGGACGATGGACGGGGCCATGTACCGTCAAATCTTGGATGAGAACCTCGTTCCCTCAGCCAGGGCATTGAAAATGGGTCGTGGATGGGTATTCCAGCATGACAATGACCCAAAACACACGGCCAAGGTAACAAACGAGTGGCTCAAGAAGAAGCACATTAAGGTCCTGGAGTGGCCTAGCCAGTCTCCAGACCTTAATCCCATAGACAATCTGTGGAGGGAGCTGAAGGTTCGAGTTGCCAAACGTCAGCCTCGAAACCTTAATGACTTGGAGAAGATCTGCAAAGAGGAGTGAGACAAAATCCCTCCTGAGATGTGTGCAAACCTGGTGGCAAGAAACGTCTGACCTCTATGATTGGCAACAAGGGTTTTTGCCACCAAGTACTAAGTCATGTTTTGCAGAAGGGTCAAATACTTATTTCCGTCATTAAAATGCAAATCAATTTATAACATTTTAGAAATGCGTTTTTCTGGATTTTTTTGTTGTTATTCTGTCTCTCACTGTTCAAATAAACCTACCATTAAAATTATAGACTGATGGTTTCTTTGTCAGTGGGCAAACGTACCAAATCAGCAGGGGATCAAATACTTTTTTTCCCTCACTGCATGCCTTCACGAGGCTATTTTTACTTGCGTCTGTTTACTTTGTAAACAGACTGGCGATATCTTGCCGCCACAGGTTGGGCAGAGCCAATCACAGTTCACACCAACAGCCAACACAATGACAGCCCTGGGAATCCGTCATCAGATTTGAAGGAAAGTTTCCCGAGCAAAAATGACCCGGTCAAACGAGACCAAGGACAAAGCAAGGGGGGAACCCCGATGTCACGGTAACATTTCATCGGCGTGTAGCACCTTGTAACAAGCGAAGATTACTTTTTTTTTGCCTTCCAGGTGATTTTTCAGACTAACCGACACGTTCAGTGGCGCATAAAGCAAAAGCGACATTGCAGCATTTGGCCATTAGTTAGGGTGACATTTGAAGGATTTTCCATTTAGTGCGGCGTTCATGGTCCACTAACTCCGTCAGGAATTAGCCTCGAAGTAATCTAATTTTCCCTATTCGGCCACAAGAATTTGCGGTTAAAATGCATCCACCCGCCCACGTTGTGTAAGGAGATGCTTCTCTCTGAGTTATTGTTATTGAGCAGGTCCCATGTCGTCATTGACTTTTAATTAAAAGTCGTTTTAGAGTGCCCATTCGTTTGCTTTGACGAGAATTAATATTATCGGGGAGCTGAAAGCTCCGTCGCGATCGGCTTTGGTATTGCCTTCATTTATTGGAATAAATTGGGGAGATATTTATCATTGTAATACTCATTTTATTTTCATGCAGTGCATTGTTTGTGACAATTGCTTGATAAAGCGGGAATTTGCCGATCCATCTGCGCAATGTTTGACCAGCATTTCATGAAATGGGGGGGAGCTTTGGGGAGTGTAGCGGTTAGCATGCTGCACTATCCTAGCCACCGGAGTTCGATTGCTGGCCATGGCTAACATCAGTAGTGAGTGATATTTGAACTGGTCCTGGTAAGGATCGGGCCAAAAATTCAAACCATTGTAATGCTCAAGTTGAGGTCTCCGAAAAACTTACATCAAAGGTATATATATTAGCTGTTTATTGCCATGATTGCAATAGGCTAAACGGCGTTTATTATTCATTTTAAAAATCAAAGTTGCTAGAGCCTCAAATGGCAAGTGATTTTATCGTTCTGACTCCTCCGTGGGCATCCACGCGGATTCATGCCATTTCTTAGGTGCCCACTCCATTATTATTCTTGACCAATTAAAATGTAATACATTAATATCTCAAAATACAGTACAGAATAAAATCTGAAATTGGGCTAAACGATCTGAAAATAAAGGAAATCTGAAACTCATTCCAATGTACATGTGCACAGCAGCCTGCTCTTTATCGTTGGCCTTAAATAGGCTCAAAGTGGGCACTTAAAAAAATGCTGGCAATCTCACTTAAACAAACTGCTACCAAATAGGGCAATGCTGTACCAGCTTCACCCTTCGCGAGGACAACCTACAAGCGCTTTGGTCCTGCTGCCCTAAGCGGACCGTTTCATCCTTTCTGACCATCAGTTTAACATGACCGTCTTAGTCTGCATGACAGCCGTGTGATGGCCTCATCCTTACTCTGGGTAATCGGTACGTGTTGTATGGACCTTCTAGTTGAGTGGAAGGAATGTGGAGTGGGAGGTCTTGGAATGTTCAAACGTGAGCTGGCTTGTTCTGCGACTTGAGTCTGAAGAGGAAAATTGATAACATTAAGTGTGGGTGCCCGTGAAAATTGTGCAAAGTGTGGTGCGCCTGTGTGTGCGCCCGTGTGTGTGTTGGTATGTGTGTTTTTCAATGTGTGTCCTGGTGTGCGTACATGTTGATCCATGTGTGTGTCTATGTTCGTGTTTCTGGGCCCTTGTTCCTGTGTGTGTTTGTGTGCTCTATATTTATGTCTACTCTGTCCTGTGCGCTGTGGCTTCCTGTGCTCTTTTGCTTGTTCCAGTGGGTTGCTTTGTATCCCTCCCTCTATGCTCCTGTTTATTCCTGTGCTCATTTGATTGCCTGCCTCCTCCTGTGTGGACCTCTGTCCTTTATGTATGTCTCTCCGATGTGATCCTTTGTGCTTCTGTGTGCTCCTGTGTTGCCCCCCCACCCCATGTGCTAATGGGCCACCGCTTTCTACCCGTCGCTTACTCCCACAGACGCCCAGCGCGGCTCCATCCGCCTCATGCGCATCGGCCTGGCGCTCATCGTGCTCGGCAACCTGAGCTTCATCTTCGGCGCCATCGTGCACGGCACGGTGCTGCGCCACGTGTCGCGGCCCGGCTCCAGCATCAACCAGGAGTACAAGGCCGGAAACTTCTCCTCCGTGTTTTCCGGCCTCATGGTGAGGCTTTGCACAGAGGCTTGAGCACGTGCATTTGCGCGAAACGCGCGACCACGTAAGGACATGTGCATCCGCACGTATTGGCGCTCGTGCCTCATGCATATAACTAAAACGCAACTCAGGCTAGCACATGCACACAGCCGGACGCAGGAGGAAACGTGAGAACACAGGAGTACACAGGAGTACACAGGAGGCCACATGAGGATACAATAGGATACAGGAGGGAATGTATGCACACAGGAGCGGACACCGGAGGAATAAGTAATATTTAAAAAAACTTTTTTTTGAACACGCTTTAATGAAATGTACACTACAAGTAATAGGTTTTTACCCTTTTATCTGGCACCAAAACTGACACCTTTACAAGGGATCATGTTTGCAATAACCACAACGCAAGCAGTCAAAATGCAAACAAAAAGAGACAACTCTGATAATGATATGCACTGTCCTTGAAATTGATTGTCCCACACCCAAGACGGCTTTTCTTAGAGCCTAGTCTCCACTGGTGTTGGACCAGATGACGCCAAAAGGCATACAACTCAAAAACAGCGCACTATCAGAGTATTGAGAGCGCGGGGTAAGCATTTACATTATGAGACCTCCTTTGCCAGTAGCAAGATATAGTAATAGGTTTTTACCCTTTTATCTGGCACCAAAACTGACACCTTTATACAAGGGATCATGTTTGCAATAACCACAACACAAGCAGTCAAAATGCAAATAAAAAGACCAATCAATTTCAAGGACAGTGCATATCATTTTCAGAGTTGTCTCTTTTTGTTTGCATCTTGACTGCTTGTGTTGTGGTTATTGCAAACATGATCCCTTGTATAAAGGCGTCAGTTTTGGTGCCAGATAAAAGGGTTAAAACCTATTACTATATCTTGCTACTGGCAAAGGAGGTATCATAATGTACCCTACTAGTAATGGAAGAACTCCACGACTCCAGGAAGTGGCCCCGATGCTTGCCATAACGTAAGGGACCGTGGTGATTTACAGCCAACGTCAGTTGACCGTGGACAATTAGACCCAAGGCGAAACATAACATATAAAAAAGTTTGTTTAAAACATTTTTTTTATGATAGAATATAGTATTGTCATCAGTATGACATAAGTATACCAAGTTTGCAGTCGATACCACATTTGGAAGTGGGTTAAAATTGAGTTACAAGATTTGAGGATACAACAACAACAGAGTGAGTTAATAGAAAGCGTGTAAAATGTAGCACACTGGAAAATGCAGAAGTACATAGGAGTACACAGGAACATGCATGAGTATACAGGAGAATACAAGAGAAGGTTATCACACGGGAGGATACAGAAGCACACAATTAGCACACAGGAAGATACAGGGGTATACAGGAGGACACAGGAGCACATGTGAGGATATATCATGCGGGGGTATAAAGGAGTACTTATGGGTACGCAGGGCGTTAAGATCACATGACGCCATTCGTAAGAGTAGGCCATTGTGTGCCACTGTTAAGTGTCCGAATTTTGCCAAGTAAAAAAAAAATTACTCGCAAATTATTAATTTGGGATTTTGTAAAGCAATCATCACCCTCTACAGCAAATGAAGACTATACTGGTCCTTTGAGTTCTCACCTGGGAAAAGAAAGTACATATAAAACTTAAATATGAGTTGAAGCTTTCTTTAATGGGGGGTTTGTTTAACCACAGTCATCATCACCACGACGATCCAAGGGCAGATAGCCCGTAGGTGTCCACTGCACAGTGCCGGTTGGTAAAATGGGTACCCAGGACTGGTCCAGATATCACTCCACCTGCGGTGTTAGCCATCACCAGGGGTCAACCTCAAGCAGCAGGCCGATGATTCTATTCACAATTTCAGCCGCCAGGTAATTTATTTTTGCGGTTGCATTATCAAAGGAGACGTCAAAGACTCTGAACCAGGTGCCATGGTGCACGCGTGCGATCTGGCTATTTGAAGGGGAGGATTGGTGGATGACGTAGATTTGCGAAGCTTCCAAACCCACCGGGCTGAGAATTGACCAGGGCATTGGAGTACAGCAAGTGGGTCGGTTTACTTGTCTGTGGAGCATTAAGTGTTATCTCATCATAACAGGACAGTGGTGGCCCATACCTGCAACCCAGAACTTTCGAGGCAAGGGCTGGTGGATCACACAAATGTCTTGAAACTCACTTCCCGTGGTCATCCAGGTCACGATATCTTGGCTTGTCAGGAGATGGCAGCACAGGAAGTGGATGAATCTTCATATGTTCCATCTTAATGGTGATTGGGTTTTTGTCCCCTCGCTCACATGGGTTTTCTCTGCGTACACCAGCTTCCTTCCATATGTACAATCGCGTATTATTGGAGTTGGCCAAACATCTCGGTTTAGGGCTACAGAGCTTGGGCAATTGTTGGTGCCAGTTTTGGATGCCGTCCCACTTGTGGTTTCCCCCACCTCTGAATATAAGGAAATCTGTGCGTGTGACAAATGTGTAACTTGTATGTGTGTGGTAGGCTTTCTCCAGGTAAACTCCTAGTTTCCTCCCATGCGTAAATTGTTCATTCATGGCATAGGTCAAATATCCCATTGCAGGGCAAGTAAGAGGCTTGCTACTCACTGAGACACTCATAGGTAAGTATTATCATTATTTCTAACGGCACATGCTGAGAAGGGCGCAAAGCCAAACCACTCCAAATGCCAAGTAGGTAATGAAGGTGGGCCGGATGTGGTTTGTGTATTTTGTATTTTACACCATTCTCCATTTCTGCTCTTGACTCATATGAGTGTTGACCTGAGCATGGATTGCTTCATACTGTCAAAGCAAAAAATTCTGCTACAAATAATGGTTCTTGCAGCTAATCACAGTCATACTATTATGGTAGTGCCCTTACATGTTCTAGGAAAGGCTCTTGGAATCACAGTACTCTCAGTACTCTTTTGTACATTACTTTAATGAGCGTTTGGCATACTGGAGGAAATCTGAGTACTCGGAGAAAACCCACACAATGAGGGGTAATGTTTGATGCTCCACAGAGATGGGTTGAATAATTTGTTGCCTCAACCTTGCTTAGATTCTCCGATTAGATGAGATCAGGCATTCAGGCTAATTAATAGAATCTGGCAGGAGTGCGAATTTGGGTGGGCGTAATGTAATCATGTGTGGGAAATAGGGGATGGACAGTTTGAAGACTGGGGATAAGGTTGGGGCTGAGGGATAGGGTTAGTGCTTGGGATATCGTTATAGGGATAGGTCTTGGGGTTTGGCTAAGGATAGAGTGAGGGCTAAATATAGGGATAGTGCAAGAGATAGGGTTAAGGGCAGGGCTGGGGATCAGGCTCAGGATAGAGTTAGTGCTAAGGATAGGGCTAGAGATAGGGTTAAGGCCAGGCCTAGGGATCACGCTAAGGATAGAGTTAGGGCTAAGGATAGGGTTAGAGCTGTAGTTGTATGTTTTGAGGAGGCCAGCAGCGTATTGTACTTTGGTGCACGTGAGGATGACCGAGTGGGGTCGTGTCTCGCATCCCAGTGTGCGTGAGCACGCACCGATAATGAGTGTTGGGAGGTCTCTGCGTCACCGTGGCTCTGCAGTCTCTTCCCCTGAGGCTCTGATGAATAAAAATAAAAGATGCGTGGGCTCACAAGGGGGCACCAGTGACATTCCCTTGCGCCGTTAAATGTGGACCGGTCAAGTGAGGCGGCTGGGGCTTAATATATTTATTTTTAAGCGGATCACTTGAAAGATGGCGCTTGTGCTTTCTGTTTGGGGTTGCTGAGCCGCCCCCCTCGTAACATGGCACGTGGTGAGAGCAGGTCGTGATTGTGGGGCACATGTGAAAGGGTAAGGCCTGCCCTGAGTTGCACCATCCTGTATGTTAATAGCCGTCAGGCTGGTTTATTTGCGCTTGGGCAGTTTGCCGCTTCACATGCAGGGCGGTTTCACCTCTGTGTGGAGTTTGGCCAAGGCGTTGAAACATCCTCTGCAGTGCGGCCAGCCCCGGAATTTTACGTATTACATTTTTTTTATTAAAATGTTTTTGTATTTTTCCCTCATCTCGGTGATGAACTGCACGTGCCGTTACGGGCTTTGTGCAGGCTTCACCTCCTACAGAAATTAACTCGTGCTGCCAAAGAGTGATTTCACTGGAGCCAGAATGACTGTCGCATGTTTTACAGGACGGAGACGTTGGTCGATCAGTTTCAGAACCGTGGATGCGTAAAAAGCGGCAAAAAAATATTTCAGCAAAGTCCTTCATTTCCCCCTGTACCCCACCCCCCCCCCCCTCCTGGTTTAGTGAATCTAAATTCCATCTGGCATGTGGCTATGGGGACAGTCATCGCGCGTAAGGGCTATGACTGACCGAGAGCTGCCGCAAATGTTGCGGCATCGTTGTCGTCGTCCTCTTCATGGTTGACGCCTCCTGCCCCGGACGCTGTCCTTGCTCGAGCAGATTCCCCCCCCTGCTCCGCACTCGCATGGTTTGACGACCTCTAGCACCCCCCCCCCCCGCTGGCCGTCGCCACGGCAACCTGGCGATGATGTCACGCTTGCGGTGTGGCCGCCTCACCTGGGAGGATTAACAGAGATGAGCGCTCGCTCGTGCGCTGTTCCAGTCGTTAGGCTTGTTTTCCGTGTGCGCGCGCTCGGGAACGTGGGCGATGCGGCGAACTGCGCGCACTCCCGTACGTCCCGGCGTTTTTAGCGCTGCCTGCAGGAGATTCTGCTATTTTAAATGCTCGTCTCTTTTTAGTTCTGAAATGGTAATGTCATTTACAACAACAACAGCAACAAAACCAGAGAAAGCCTCATTGGGTGGTGCGGGAGGGTTGTGAACGTTTGTAGCCCTGCCTGCAGGAGGTGGTGCTATTTTTAATGATCCTCTGTTTTTAGTTCTAAGATGATAATCTGAGTTACAAAAAGAGCCTCATTGGGGGTGGGAGCGTTTTCACTCTGCATGGGCTTAATGTGGACGTTGGACAAGTAATGATTGATGATAATATAGTACATGCGGTATTTGCGCCATTCG